TTTAAAAACAACTGAATATTAGCCATTTATTTCTGTACTCTGGAGCAATTTCAGTACTCACTAGCAAATGCAACTAAGAAAGGTATCTAATTTGAATGTCAATGAGGCTGGTGTCTGGAATTGGCCTAATTATGGAGGGAAGGATTTATAATGTAGAATATATATTCTTATAAACACCCAAAGGTTATTAGCTCCATTCCCTGAATAATTGCTTATTGCTGAAACTTTACACCCTTAACAAATTTAATAAAGAATAATATCCTAATAAACCAGTTGTTCACAATGTATTAGCTGATATCTAAGGGACTGTTGCTATTGTGCATCATCCCTCAGCATTGATAACTGTAATACAATTTAAATAACATGAATTTTCAATAAGCTCAAAACCAACTCTACTGAGGAATTATAGTATCAGACGCAGATAAATAGCAATGAAGAAATGGATGAGTTTTACATGTTATTAAGATTATTATAAATATCCAAGGAATGAATGATGGACCTGAGCCCTCTGCTAGTAAACACTATTTATTAGATTTTTAAGACAAAAGTAAATCAAAATACAGAATTGTAAAGACAATTAAATTATAGCCAGGCCATTAAGCCTCAAAATGACTCATGGAGTCCTTTGGTTCAAAAAGTAGTTTCAGACAATCTACAAGTTCAAGCAGTTTTCATAAAATAAGATGTCATTTTTATTTTTCATTTTCACTGTGCTGACGTTTACACAGATGGTAAAGAAACAAACGTGGGGAAAGTGCTCTAGTCTAAAGCACAAAAAAGAAAAGAAACGAAAGAAATCACATTCACTTCCATAGAGTCAATTCTGACTCATAGCAACCTTCCATAGAGTTTCTGGGGCTATAGTTATTTACAGGATTAAATAGCTTTAGATTTGATATACTGACCTTACCTTTAGCCGTCCAACCCTTATCACACAATACCACCTGGGCTACTCTAGTCCTAGATCAGATTATTGCCTTGACACTAAACTGTACCTCTCCTCAAAGTATTCTTCACAACTATATACTCTATTAAGTAAAGCCAAACCAAACCAAATGCAATCCCATACTGTCAATCCTGATTCATATTGATCCTAAAGGAAACAACTGCCCTTGTGAGTATTGGAGACTCTAATTTTTATGGGAGTAGAAAGCCTATTCTGTCTCCTGCAGTTCTTTCTCACACTCAGAGTCTGGTTGCTTCGAACTGCTGAACTTTTGGCTAGCACACCAACACATACTATGAGGAACCCCACCAAAAATGGGGTGGGGGGAAGCTCCACTTGGAGGAGCTTTTGTAGTATGCAGTCCCTCCTTGGTCTGAGTTAGCGCACCCAGTGGTGTCACTTGGGAAGGTTCTCTGTGGTCACAGTGAATTTTTTTGGTAAAAGTGATGCCACTCAAACCTTGTTTCTTGTAATGACTGATTTAAGAAGACAGGGTATGCCTGTGAATTTTCTTTCCTGTTTGGGGAAAAAAATGCCACAGAAACAGTTGTGATATTGAGCACAGCTTACAAGGACAGTGCTATGGGAAAAACTCATGTGTACAAGTGCTTTTCTCATTTCAAAAAAGGTGAAATGTAGATAGATAAGAAACCTTGTTCTGTGTGCCCATCAACTTCCTGAATGGAGGAAACTATTGACAAAGTCTGTGCACTTGTGCTCAAAGACTGATGAGGGACTATTGAAGAGATAGTGAAGTTATGTGGACTATCTTGGAGCATGGCTCAGCAAATTTTAATGTAAGATTTGGGAATGAGATGATCACTTTGAATTTGTGCCTTGCGTTCTGATGAACCAGGTAAAAGAGCTGAGTAGAAACTTGCCTTGCTTTAAAAGAACAGTTCTAAAGAGACCCAGACTTTTTTCCAACGTCATGACTGGTGACAAGACGTGGTCTGTTCTTACAATCCGAAAGCAAATATCAATCAAGCCAGTGGGTGATGCTATTATCACCTTGCTCATAAAAAGCTCATAAAGTGAAATCAAAGATCAAGATGATATTCTTTTGTTTTGTTTTGCTTTGTTTTTTGATGTGAGAAAGATAGTGCATTCGGAGTTTATTCCATCAGGTCAAACTGTTAATCAAGCTTTCTACTTAGTGTTTCTGAAAAGATCTCATAACAGCGTGTGATTTGTGGCAGATGGGGGACTGGTTTTGCCACCATGACAATGCACCTGCTCACACAGCCTTCTCGGTGCTCCAGTTTGGGCTAAACAGACCATTCCTCTCTCTCTCTTTTTTTTGCCCCATACACTTTACTCACCTGACTTCACTCCATGAAACTTCTTTTTGTTTCTGCAAATAAAGAGGGACGTGAAAGGACAGTGATTTGATAATGTAGAAGAGGTGAAGACAAAAATGCCTGTCAGCCATCCAAACAGATGAGTTTGAAAAATGTTTCCAAGAATAGAATCTCAGATGTGTCAAATGTATTATAATAGAGAGTACTTTGAACGTGATAAGGTTCTCTTGTAAAAAAAAAATTAAATGCATTGCATTCAGTAAAAGAAAAAAAATTATGGATTTTTGGGGTACCCCCTTGTACTATGCCATAAGAGCTCTTTACATAAACAGGGCTTTTCATA